GGGCTCAGGTCATGACCTCATGGTTCGTGAATTCAAGTCCTACATCAGGCTCTGTACTGACAGTGTCGAGCCTGCTTGGGATTCTCTGTCTCTCTTTCTGCCCTTCCCTCACCTGTGCTCGCTCTCTCTCTCTCTCTCTCTCTCTTTGTTTCTCACTCTCTCACAAAAATAAATAAGTAAACATAATTCTCCAAATTAAAACACAGTAGTAAGAAAGACACGTAGCAAATATTGAAGTTTTAATTACTTAGTGAGAAAACCAACAGGGTGATATACTGGTTCCAAAGATGGTCCTAGAAGCTGTGTACTTATATGTGCATATATATAGTCATTGAAAAAAAAAAAAGGAATACTGGTGTAAGATTATAAATTTAGATTCAAAACTGGATAAATGTTCTGTAGGTCAATAAAACCATAACCCTTTGGAGTTACCACTTCTTCTAAATAGTAATCATTTGTTCTTATCAGTTTTATTCAAGTTAACATCTAGCTTTACAGAGTTGTAAAATATTTGTAGCATGAATATTATAAGAGTAAATAGTAAGTAAAAATGTTACATTCCCCTGGAGAGTCAAATGACCTGTAAGTAGGCTTGTTAGATAATGCTCAAGCATGGCATTAAAAAAGTAAGGCAGCTTTTTTTTTTTTTTTTTTTTTTGGTCTAAGATCCACATTAGATTTTTCCTTGGTTGGGAGCATTTATTAGTCTGAACAATTGGGAAATGGGGTGTATTTAATGTAATATGAAAGATAAGCTATAGAGCAGTTTTTTGGTTGTGTTGAACATGTATTTTTAAGAGACAGATCCAAACAAGTATGTCACTTGACAGCTAGCTATATAAATCTGCAGTTTCAGACTGAGTACTGAACACAGGTGGAGAAAAACAATTGGAATTTGCAGCATATAGATAATAAGTAAAACCTGGGACCAGAGGAGACATCTAGCTAAGTAGTCTCATACAGAAGAAGATAGGTCAGAGGGCTCAGCACTGAAGAACTCCACTATTTAGTGATGAAAGAGGATAAAGGTCTTGCCAGTGAGGCACTGGGTAGGAAAATCATAAAAATAAAGTGTTTCAAGATCAACAGACTCAAACACTTTGTCATATACATGATTTATTGGAGGTCAAAAGAATAAGGACTGTGCAACGATCAGACTTTGCTATGTGAAGAAGTCATTGGTGACTTTGATAAAAGGCAGCTTTGGTGAAGTAGCAAGGACAAAGCCTGATTTAAATTAGTTCAGGATAGAATAGGAAGAGAGGATGTATGGACAACTGTTTGAGTAGATTTTAAGCAAAAAGTCAGTAGCCAGATGGGTTATGTCATAGTCTGTTTGTATACTGACATCACTTTTTTTGCTCCCTGCTCATAAATCTTCAGTTCACTCAGCAATGGGAATGGTACTGTGTGGCAAATTTAGTGATGTAGAAAGTACATGGTGATCTAAAATAACTAATAGAAAATAGAAGACAAAGGGCTGGGGGTGCCTGGGTGGCTCAGTCAGTTAAGCATCCGACTTTGGCTCAGGTCATGATCTCACGGCTTGTGAGTTCAAGCCCCACATTCAGGCTCCCTGCTGTCAGCACAGAGCCTGCTTCAGATCCTATGTCGTCTTCTTTCTCTCTCTGCCATTCCCCCACTCAAGCTGTCTCTCTTCCTTTCTCAAAAATAAACAAACATTTTAAAAAATTATGAAAGAAAAGAAAACAAGGGGCTGGGAAACAATAGCCATGACAATAGAGGGACTCTTAGAAGCTTATGAAGCAGAAAGCCTTAAAGTAATGTCCTAAAGAATTCTGGCGCTAAATGAAACTAAATGATAGGAATAGTTTTCCAGGCAATGGAGGTTGAACAAATAAAAGGCTACAAAATAGGCAAATGGCATATTGAGGCACCTGAGTGGTTTAGTAGGTTGAGTATTTGACTCATGATTTTGGCTCAGGTCACAGGGTTGTGGAATTGAGCCCTGTGTAGGGCTCCATGCTGTATGTGGAGCCTGTTTAAGATTCTCTCTCTCCCTCTGCCACTCTCCCCAGATCACACTCTCTCTCTTTCTAAAAAGAAAAAAAGAAAGCATATTTGTACTAAAATGGTAACTTCTCATGGATTAAACTACCCTGACTGATTAGACCCCAGAAACCTCTGCCCTCAATTAGGTAAACAGAATTAAAAATGCTTTAACATGTTATTATTGATTATGATATTCTAGATTCTTTAGGAAGCTATGAACAGTCATAATATCATATAAGAATATTATAAAGATTCTTGGGGTGCCTGGGTGGCTCAGTCAGTTGAGTGTCTGACTCTTGGTTTCGGCTCAAGTCATGATCTCATGGTTTGTGGGATAAAACACTACATCAGGCTCTGTGCTGGTAGTACAGGGCCTGCATGGGATTCTCTCTCTTGCTCTCCACCCCTTCGCTGATTGCTGTCTGTTATTCTCTCTCTCTCTCTCTCAAAATAAATAAATAAACATTTTTTAAAAATGTTTTTAAGATCCTAAATAAAATATTTTTTGAGGAAAAGGTATACCATTTATTCACAAAATCATTTATAACACAACTTCTTAATCCCCTAAATGGTAATCAATAGAAAGATTTACCTAATTTTTTTCAGAAATTTTGTCAGCATAATATGCGCTGGTGGTATAATGGTGAGCATAGCTGCCGTCCAAAATTTTTGTCAACAAAGGAGAGCATTTCATTGCTGGGGTTAAATATCCATGAAAAAATAAATGTTTAAATCTTCTTAGCTCATCTTGAATACGTTTTCATGATACAAATATTATTGAAAACATTTCCCTATACTTTTAAATTTTTCTAGAGCCTAAAGAACACTATTGAAACTTTTACAATACTTTTTGTGAAATAACTTTTAAAATACAAATTGAAGTTGTAATAGAATTCCATTTTCATGGAAATAATTAGGGGAAAAAAAGGTACCTGTTAGTTTACCCATACTTTACTATAAAGGTAAAAATAAAATCATTAGAAGGGTGGTTTCCAATAACTCCTGTGAGGAGTGGGCTGAAAAGATTGATGAGGAAGTAAAGAAACTATTGATTTCTCAGTCACAGGTGTTTAACTGCAGATGAAAATGATGATTGCAAAACTGACCAAATTGTGACATTACTTTGTGTCCTTCAGCTGAAGTCTGCAAGTAAAATAGTAGAAAAAGCAGGTAGCAAGAGCAGACTTAAGGAGAGGTGGCAGACTTAGGTAATGCATTGAAATAAACTGCTGAGGAATCAGAAGAAATTTACTGGAACATTTATCAGGAAAGAAACTCCACTGGAGTTGGGAATATAAACCCTACAGGAATCAGTTTTGGACTGACTGTTCATGTTTTGAAAAAGAATTTTCATAAAATGCATAGCAAAATTATCAGATTTGCAAATGGCTTTAAAGACTTTGAATTAATGAAAAGTTGATTAGAATGGATTGAAAGAATATAAATATTATTAATGATATGGACCAATTAAAGTAATACAACTAAGTATTAAAAATTCCAAATGATACCTATCAAAGAAGGGTTTCATTTTTCAATTCAATTCATGGAAGGATCCTAAAGATCAAACAGTCTTGTTTCTTTTCCATTGCTTCTAGCTTTCCACAGTCTCACTCTTCCACCTTTCTCAACTCACTCCATATTAATTTCCCTTTCTTCTAAAACACTCATTATATATGTGTCCACAAATATGTTACATGATCCCAAGAATTTGTTTCATATTTCTAATCATATTAGGATTTATCCCAACATGAGTATTAAATGTCATCACTGTTAAAAGATGCTATATTAAGGGGCACTTGGGTGGCTCACTCAGTTGAGCATCCAACTTCAGCTTCGGTCGTGATATCACAGTTAATGAGTTTGCGGCCCGCATTGGGCTCTCTGCTGTCAGCACAGAGCCCACCTCAGATCCTCTGTCCCCTTTTCTCTCTGCCCCACCCCTGCTCTCTCTTTCTATCTCTCTCAAAATAAATAAATAAATAAATGCTATATTAATGTATTTTGTACTTGAAAACAAGAAATAGAAAAATCAAAAGTCAAGATGGTGCTAAGTATCATGTAAGCCAATTTTTTGCAGTTGCTTTAAGGAAACATAAAATAACAAGGGTCATTTCAGATCTCTCAAACTAGATCTTTATTGGACCAAAAGGGGCCGGTCTAGATGGGTACATAACTGCATATGCAATGTCATTTATAAGATTTAAAGAATCTTAACATTTATGGCTCCCAACTTGCCTGCCCTACTTCTCTCCCCAGTTCATAGATACACATTTACTTTGGCAGATAAAGGTGTTTTTTTCCCCACTAATGGTGCCTGAAATTCTCAACAATAATTTTCTCATTTAGGAGAGAAGGGCAGTAATCTGTTCAGATAAATTAGTACAGTCTGGGAACATAGACAAGTTTTGATAGGAAAAAAAAAAATCTCAACCTGAGCATATGAATTTGAAATACAGAAAGAGAAAAATGGGATGAAATTTGGAGGAGATGGAGCATGAGGGGATAAGGAAGTAGGAGGGAAATGCAATTTTCTTTGCCTCATTAGCAGTGTTTCCTAGACTCATTAAGCCTCAGGTAGCAAAAGAGATGTCTGTTAGTTGGAACTAAAACAGAGTTGTTTTCGTTTTTTTAAACCTTGTGTGGCAAGCTCAGAGTATCCATTTTTTATATTTTTTCCACAGAAATGTAAATAAACTTGTCTTACTGATTTAAATATCCTTGTTTTACTTTGAAAGTAACACAATAAAAAATTAGTAACATTCACCTCCTTGTGGATAACATTGGTTGCATTTGTTTTCACTAAACATTTATGAACTCCTGTGTTGAAATACTGTTGTTTTGAGCTATATAGCTTTAAGACTACTACACAACTGGCTTTTTCCCCTAAAAATTTGCCTGGATTATTTCAAAATAAATTAGATTTAGAGTTTCAGTCTTGCTGACCTGTAATTTATGGATGCATATATGTTTTTACTTTGTAAATATAGTTCATTTACCCCTAAAATGCAAGGCAGACGGATGGGGACTTCTGGAAGAGCCATCATGAAGAGCACCAGTGTGAGTGGGGAGATGTACACACTGGAGCATAATGACGGCAGTCAGTCTGACACAGCTGTGGGTACAGTTGGAGCAGGTGGAAAGAAAAGGAGATCCAGCCTGAGTGCCAAAGTGGTTGCCATAGTGTCTAGAAGGAGTAGAAGCACATCCCAACTAAGCCAAACAGGTGAGTGAAGTGAATTCAATTTAGACACCTCGAGTTCTTGCTGGAGAGACAAAAGTGGATCCTCATGCTGTGGCTTGGAACTGATGGCAGAGCGTATTGGTTCTTTTTTGCAAAAGAAGTTTATTTTTCTGTCTCTGAAAATCTGTTACATGCACATGTTTATTTTTTTTTTCTGTGCGACTGTCTAACAAGGTATAATTTATCAATTTGTAAAGTGGCCAGATATTTTCCTTCAAGTTACAAAAAAAAGTGAAGCCATGTTTATAAATATGCAAGGAAATGCAAAGAAGTGTTAAAGATCCAAATTGATTTATATGCAAGAAAAGCAACAGGATTCTCCTTTTCAAAATGTTCCATAATATAATTACCTATAATTTAGGCTCTATCTATATTTTGATGGAAAAGAATGTTAGTTGTGCAACTTGAAATACAGTCTTCAAAGTACTGTATGAATATAATTATTAAACTGTGATTGTTATATTTTCAGTGTAAGTTAAAAACCCAGCCGTTATTTTTACTTTAAAAAATGGGTCAGTGGATTTCTTCAAAGAATAATGTCTTAATAGAAATTTGAGTTTCGGATATTTTCTACTGCTTATAAATCTTAAAAGCTTTATGTCCTCAAGGTATATACAGAAAAGCAAACCCAGAAGGGAGAATGGTTATTTCTGTACTATAAAATATTTTTTAAATTGCCCAAAGTTACATAATATCTGATCAGACATATGAGATAATTCATTACTATGTTCAGTACTGTGGAAAACCAAAGGTAAGTGAAATACTGAATTGATTTAAATTGTCAGCACTTGCTTCTGTTATAACCATTGGTTCCATATTTTTGTTCCTTAACAGCAAAAGTCTTGTTGTAACAACCTTTACTTGTGCCAGAAAAGTTTCATGGAATTCTTTCTGTAGTTGACTTGGAGTCCTGGAGAGTATCTATTTTAAAATGTACTTTCTAGTGGACATATTTACAAATAAATTAAAGGTAGGAAATTGGACTATTCAGAAACTGAACTCGAGTGTACAGCTATTTAAACAGAGGTTTGTCTTTCTGAAAATCCTACCATCTCTGACGGATCTGCCTCTGTGCCATCCCACTAAGATGAGCTGCTTATTGCAGAGGAGAATCTTTTACCTTCCTGAGGGTCGGCTTTCTCCTTGAGTAGTAGGAGGCATTTTTCATTTGCTTGTTTGATTTGTCTTATTTTTGATGGTGACGCTTCTTGGTTTTTGGTATTGATGTAGTGATAGTTTACAGTGTGGGGTGTGGATAAGGCTTTTACCATCAGGTTTGAAAATCCTTCATCACTTGGATGAAATGGAAATATTCCTTGATGAACCAATGCTTCCTGTGTGAGGCTGCAGATTTAGTAGACTGCTTATCTTCTTCTGCTGACTATCCACAGTCTCTCTTCTTTATTTTGCCCTTATAGTTTCCTATTACTCACTAAAGTAGAATTACATTTTCTTAGAATAAAACACAATCATAATTTTACATAGGAACTATACTTGTTACATAGCTTTATAGGTAGTAGGTTCAAATGATTGTCATTGAAACACTTAATTCACCTCTTTGCTTTACTGATTTAAATTTTATTCCGTTTATGGTCATTGTTGAATTTCAAATAATATTTACCTTTCCAAAAGTTGCATTGTTAATAACCTCCACAGAATACCCTACTTTAGAGAATTAGGTTACTGTGTAAGGAAGCAAAAAAGACACTGAATTACAAAGCCAAGTTAACAAAACAATTATTTTCCAAAGTAACTCAATCACCTGTTACTTTATCTCTCTAGGACTCAGTTTGCTTATATAATGTGGGGGTGGGGGGAGGAGGGGGATTAGACTAGATATCCTCCTATAATATTTCCAGGTACAAAATTTTATGTATATTTTTCTATATCATAATTTTACCTTTTATTTGATAACCTATTCTCATTCTTATTGATCTTTCTAAAGCAAATGATAGATGGTGACAAACCTCAATTATCATTCCTCTTTGTTTCGGATCTTGGCCTGGTTTTTCTCCCTCTTCTGTCTTCTACAAGTGTTATGGAGAGGAAAACAACATTACTTTTATTTTAAAACAAGCTGTGTATTCTGTGGAGTAGAATGTATTACATGTAATGTAAATGTTTATTTTAATGTAGAAGAAAAGGGCTTTTCTTAGTGAACCACTAATCCATACAGTCTGGGTGACAGTTTCTCTCTCCTACAATATAGATAAGAGATAATCAGAAAAATATGAAACGCTTAGAAATAAAAGTTTGATCAGCTTTTCTAAGAATGATAGATAACAAGCACATTGCTTTCCTGTTTTTGTTTTTATAGCCACAAGTTTACTTAAAGGAGTATATTTAAGTCTTTGTTTGAAATCAGGTAAAATTTATTTCAACAAATTAAGGAGCACATATACATTCACATATATATATATATATTTATTATGAAGAGTATTTACTATGCTCTTTAATTATATATAAAATTGTTATTGTATATAATTTACTAGTCTCTTCAATTATATATTTTTACAGGACATTTGAATTATAAATAATGTTAATATTTTAAAACCACCTTTACCACACTATTTATTCTTAATAAAAATAGGCATAACTTCTTCAAATATGTATTTTTAAATAGGAGAGTGACCTAAACAGGACATTTCCAATGACTTTAGGTGCTACTACTGGAAAATGTCTTCAAGCAATCATGCATATAGCAAACAATCTATTTAGTAAGTCGTAGCTAAATTAGATTGAAAAGTGAAATTTATGAGAAAAAGCTCCTCATGTAGCAGTAATTTGGAATTGAGACTCAGCATAAACTTAGGGCTAGTCTTTAGAACTTGAAGTAGATTTTAGTTTTTAAAGGTTTAAAGCTAGCCCAGCCTATGTAATGTGAGGATTTGGTCACTCACACATAGACTAACTACATGACATTCTCGCAGTGATAATCCCCTCCCTACTTATAAATAAAGACATTTTTGAAAAGGGTGTATACATCTGTGAAGGATCGTCACTAAATAACCTCCTTGCAATTACCTAAAAATGTAAGATAATAGTAAGTATCGTAAAAATGATTATTCATGTGTCTAAGTGAATAAAACTAATAATAGATTTACAGTTCTAGAACTTTTTCCATGCCCTCTTAATTACATACATGCATGTGTGTGTCCATATAATTTCACGCCTTTATTGGTCACAACAAACTTATTAAGTACCCTTATCATTACTATTTCCATTTTGAAATCGAAGAAACTAAGGTATAGAGTGATTAGGTAATTTTCTTAAGTTCCCATTGTAAGTGATTGGGCCAGAATTTAAACCTAGGCTTCCAGGTGCCACAGCCTATGCCCTTAACTATGCAAAAAAGAAGAGTTTGAAATAAGGTTCCACAAACATTTAAGCACAATTCTGTTGTTAGTACATGATAGACAGTGTACCAGCCACTGGGCTAGGAGCTAGGAATACTAAAGAGATGAATGAAATATTGCCTCTGGCTTCACAGATGTCACAGTAGAAAAGGGTGAATTACATATAAATATTCCAGCTCAGAAAGGGCAATTATCCATTTATCAAAGTGGTACAGAGGAAGTACAGAGTGTGATTCACACTCACGTGCAATCTTGAGAAGCTTCTTTGAAGAGGTGAGACTGAACATTAAAAAATAAATCAGGAGGGGCGCCTGGGTGGCTTAGTCGGTTGGGCGTCCGACTTTCGCTTAGGTCATGGTCTCACGGTTAGTGGGTTCGAGCCCCGCGTCGGGCTCTGTGCTGACTGCCAGCTCAGAGCCTGGAGCCTGTTTCAGAGTCTGTGTCTCCCTCTCTCTCTGACCCTCCCCTGTTCACGCTGTCTCTTTCTCTCTCTCCTAGAAGTAAGTAAAAAACATTAAAAAATCAATCAATCAATCAATCAATCAGAAATATTATATAGGGAAGCACGTTCCAGGACAGAGGTTGCAGCACATTGATAAAATGTTGAAAATGATGAGTGCTTATTCCCCTGGGAAATGTATGCATCCTAAAATCCTATAAAAGATTTCTGTAACTAATGGATATTTATCCTCACTGCAACAGACAGGTCATCTCAGGACAGATCTTACATCAAAGAAGCACTGTGCATCCGAGACTGATTTCTGCTTACAACTTTTAGCTTTTAAGAAGAAAACATCTATAAATGTAAAATATCATCAGCTTTACAGACTAGAAAGTTCTCAATTCACTTTATCTTAAATTATTGAATAACTGTATATCCAGTATTATACCAGCCACAGTAGGTATTTCAAAATTAAAAGTATCATCTCCAGTGGAAGGAAATTATTCACACTCAGAATAAACGTGAACCAAAGAACTAAATGAGAAAATATAAAACAAGTGCCAAATGTAGTAAAACCCATCCCATTTATGTATGTTACCAAAGAAGTGGGAAGACAGATGGGTCTAAGATTTATGTCTCAGGATGAGAGCACATGCAGAATTAGTAAATAATTATGATGTAACCATTTAATAAAATTATTAATTATATCATTAATAGCTGAAGATATTTTATTAGCTAGATTAATATCATGTTTAATGATCAAACTACTGATTAAATTATGGAGATGTTGCAGATCTATTTTATAATTTTCAAACAATTAACAATTGTCATGTACCAAGAATGTACTAAAAAAACCATTTCTGTTTCTCTGATAATAGTCTGTATTTTTCTGAATTTTTCCCCCATTCCAAATGTTGCTTTCCCCTGTCCAAATCCTTTCCCTCAAGACCCTGCTCAAGACTCTATAACTCTGTAAGTTTTCCCATTTCTTCAACCTTTACCAGTATCCTTTTCTCTGAATTCCTGTTAGATCAGGCTATCTGACTTTACTTGCAGGTTGCTTCAAGCACAAAAATTTGGGGCTAATGCCATGGATAAACTAATAGGTATATATTTTATAAGGAAGCATATCTCACATGGACATGGTAAACAAAAATTTCCGTGATTTGGAAATGATGCACACT